TTTTTACTTTAAATGCATATATGTCCATCATCTCTACGTAGGCTTCTTCTAGGTCTTCATCAATTTCATTAGTTTGGCCGTTTGAAATGTATTCTTCTTTTTGTGTCTTATTGACTTTTTGCTGATTCATCATTTATTCTTTGAAAAGACATCAGATATAGCTGCGTTTGTTCAATATTAGGCGCTGGAATTTTTTCCGTTTTAACCCTTAAAGCGAGACGCTCTTGACAGAAAATAACTCAATTGTTCCACCGAGCTACAAGTTTTGAATTATTATTTTGAGCTTCCATTATTGCAAACATCAAAGAGCTAGGCCTATTATAATAGATCCAGGTTTATAACTATCAAAGAAATCTTGCCGATACATATATGCAAAAAGAATATGTTTGCTAATTACATTCAGCGAGATTAACTGTGAACGGACGAATGGTTGCAAACGTAAGGCAAAAAAATTGGCGTGTTACCAAATTAATTTTGATACACGTGATAGATGATTATGCTTTAAAAAATTATTACACTATCTAAACTTTAAAAAATTAAGCTTTCGTACTGATAACGTGTTGTAAAAAGAGAGAATAAGAGAAGTCAATAGACTTGTGTGTATTATAATGAGAACCAACATCCTATATTTATAGGGATGGAATATGGGTACATATGGTAATAATATTTAGGGTTATAGGAGTACAATTATCATTTACCAATAACTTACTATTTACAACAAAAAAATATCATTTGAGGACATCCATTTATGTTCATTATAGACTAAAAATCCCCCATTTTGTATTAATTAGCGTACTCAATTACCAAATTAGTGTCAAATTATCAATCCAATCATAATATTTACTGGAAAAATGAATGCTTCCTATAACATATCTAGGTTCGTTAGGAAAAAGACAATTCATGAAATCATGAACATAAAATAAAATAAATACCTTATATACTTTTACTTCAAACTTAATAAACTTATACGCATATATAGATAAATTTATGAGATAAGTCAATCGTTCAGGGAGTCCGATAGATCTCACCGCAAAGCATGATTAGTGACAGTGATTGTAAATTATTAAATCAACAGAACATGTAATTAGGTGACATCATATCTGTGCAGAAATCACTAAAAATGCATATTTAAAAATTCTCAACCCCAAAATTAAATTTCGATTTTAGTACTTGGTGCGCATCTCATCTTTTTGCTTTGGAAATGCCTCTTCTACATCATGGTTTCTTCAACAAACTCTGTAGTGTCTTCTTCACTCTGAATTCATTGT